AGTAGCGCGCGTGGGCCCGGAAGAGCGCGCCCTTCTCGTCGCGCAGGGACGCGCGCAGCGTGACCCGCTGCCCCGGGGCCAGGCCGCACACGGCGATGCGCACCGGCTTGTCCCAGGGGCAGCGGCCCTCGGGCTCCAGCGTTATTGCTGCCACCGAGATTGGGTCACTGGGTCTCAGCTCTGTGGGTCCTGCCAGCCGCGGCCACCTTGTCAGGCACCGTTGGAAGAATCTGGACCGTCGCAGGAGAGCCGGAAATGAGTCCACCATTTTGATCTCGGATCAACTGAACAGGCTGTGGAGCAATTTAGAAACTGATTAGGGCTGCTCTAGCGGCACGCTGCCTATCTGCAGCCTCAGCGCCCAGTGGGGCAGAGCAGCCTGCTAAAATTGAGTTTGGAGGGCCAAAGTCCAGCCAGTCAGTGGCCCACCTTCCAAAGCAAGAGGGCAACTACACAGAAGAACTTTATGTTGGGAAGGAATTTCCTGGTTCTGCCCCTCAGAATCTGGCTCGTACAGAGCGGGCTGGACCAGGCCTGCCCTGGCCTGCCCTTGAGGGAAATTGGTACTTAGCACAGTTACAGTAGCCAAACTTAATAGCCAAGAGGAGTGGACTGGAATTGAGTTTTATCACTTTGTTAAGCAATTCACACTGGCTAATGAACATAGAACTTTTCTTTTAAAATGTGCACCATGGTGTTTTACTTGTGTATTATCTGTGTATATACTTGCTTTCCACACCATCCCACATCTAAGAGGCCTGGCCTCTTACTAGTTGTATGACCTTAGCTTCATCCCTTATGGATGTAAAAATCGCCAAATGAGGTAATAGTTAATGTTTTGTTATATTGGTCTCTCATGTCGCTCCATTTAGGCAAATCTTATCTCTCTCTCACTCTGGACCTTCTCACCTTTTCCCACTTTTTCATAAGCTGTGGGTTCCACCCAGTGGTGAATTTTTCATCGTATTTAACTGCAGGTGTCTTACAAGGCCTTGAATTTGATTTTACATTTATAAATTCATATCCTTTTTTATTAGAGAAGTCTGCAAATTGTATAAACTTAAAGCCCACCAAATTCGTGTTTGCCTCTGCTCCTAATAAGGTCACCCCCATGAGCTTTCCCAGAAACTTTTTACCTAGTTTCAGATGTTCTCTAGTCCCCCTGGTCATTAACCATCCAACTCCCTTTAGTTCCAATTACTTTTGTACTGGTTCTGTGGCATACTTCACAGTACATTTATTTTTTTCACAAGAGTCTCAGAAACTAAAGAATTTAATTAATAACAGCTAACTCTTAATCCTTACGAGAACCTTAGGAGAAAATTAAGGCCCAGAGTGGTGGCCTGATTTGCTGAAGGTTAACACAGCTAGAATGTGGAAATGCTGGGATTTATACCTTTACAATCTGATTCCAAAGCCCTTTCTGTAAACCATTATGCTCTAATTGCCTTTCACATGATGGTGTTCTATGTCAGAGATTTGGGAAACACTCATATACTGTTGGTAGATACATACACTGGTATGACTTTTTCAGAGCAATCTGAATAAGAATATTTAACAGATGCATTCTCTTTGATTCACAATTCCCCTGCTAGAAATTTCTCCTAAGTAAATATTCATAAATGCATGTAAATATTTGGCTATATCAGTGCTTATATCGTTTTAACAGAGGAAAAGTTAGAAACAAACTAGCAATATAAATTTGGTTTAATCAATTTAATTGTAATATAACTGTATAAAAGGAGAGCAGTAACCATTAAAAATGATACACCAGAAGAATATGAGGAAATTTTCATAACATTGAAAGCATGTAAAGAACAATTTGTAGAACTTAAATATATATATAAACATTTTTAAAAACAAATAGTAGAAGCAGGGAAGGTATAGCTCAGGTGGTAGAGCACATGCTTAGCATGCATAAGGTCCTGGGTTCAAACCCCAGTACCTCTTCTAAAAAAATAAGTAAATGAATAAACCTAATTACCTGCCCCCTCAAAAAAGAGAGAAAGAAAAAACAACATATACAAAAAAAAAAAAAAAAAAGACTAGTAGAAAACTACCCTAAACTATTGTGTCTTAGGCTTTGGGGTATTATGAGCAGTTTTAATTTTCTTCTTTCTCCAACATTTCTACCACAGGGGAAAAAACAACAAATCCATAGCTTTTATAATTAAACAGGGTTAAAAAAAAACTGGTAATATACAAAGATAAAATTTACCATTTAAAAATGCATATTTAACTAAGTACATTCACATTGTTGTGCAACCTTTAACACTATCCATCTCCTTTTTCATCACCCAAACTGAAATTCTGTACCTATTAAAAAACAACTCCCCATTCTTCCCTCTCCACCACAGCCCCTGAGAATCACTATTCCACTTTCTGTCTCTATGATTTGACAATTTTAAATACCTTATATAACTGGAATCATACAATATTTGTCCTTTTGTGTCTGGTTTATTTCACTTTGCATAATGCCTTCCAGGTTCATCCATGTATGTACATATATCAGCATTTTATTCTTTTTTTTTTTTCATTAATTTATTTTTGGGGGGATGAGGTAATTCGGTTTACTTTTTAATTTTTTTTTTTGGAGAGGGTACTGGGGATTGAACCCAGGACCTTTTGTATACTAGGCATGTGCTCTACCACTTAAGCCCTACCCTCCCCCCCATTTTTTAAGGCTAAATAATATTCCATTGTATGTATATAACACATTTTGTTTATCCATTCATCTACTGATAGACATTTAGGTTGTTTCCACTTTTTGGCTATTGTGAATATGCTGCTATGAACATGGGTGTACAAACACCTGTATGAGCCCTTACTTTCAATTCTTTGGGTGTATACCCAGAAGTGGAATTGCTGGATTACATGGTAATTTTGTTTAATTTTTTGAGGAACCTTAACCAGGGTTTTAATGTTTAATTTTTTTAAAAGTCTTTCAGTCATTTCATCTCAGAGAACATGTCCTTTCACCCTTTTTGTGAGGGTCCCAGGATCTGAACACAAATTGAGGCACTAAAGTCAGTGCTCAGGTTGGTCAGCAAGAGGTGGTGACCACCTGAATAGCACAGCCCTAGGTCAACTTGAAGACAGAACCTTATACCCAGAAATCTTCCTTACTGTCATGACAAATCAGTTCTTTTCACGAGGGGAATCCGGAAGACTAGTATTCTGTAGGCCTGGAATTTTATTATTAAGAATATAGGACTTGAAGAGTACCCTTGTAAAAACAGTGTTATTGGCTGATAATCCGGCCAGAATTTGGGGAGCAGGAGAGATGGAATTGAATGTTGTGAAGGAAGGAGATTAAGCAGGGGCAGAGATGAAAGAGGAATGGGAAAGGCCCCAAAGATACTCATTCTGCTTTACCATTTGTTCTGTCAGCCTGGTGGTCTGAAGCATGCCAGAAATGGGTGTTCATGTGTTCCCTGCTTTGCATCTTTCTCAGTAGGACTTATGAACCAATGTTGAGGGGGTGGGGGTATATTGAGCTGCATAGACCTAGAAATTTATTTTTCGAAGGGTGACCAAGAAATCGATTTGGCCCCCAACCAATAAGTACAATGCAATTTCTCAAAGCTCACTTTACAAAGAAGAAAATTAGTAAATAGCTGAAGACATCCCTGATTGAACGGGCAGGTTCTCTGAGTAGCCTCAGGGAATTCTAAACAGATGGTTGCCTGGTAACCAATAAAAGCAGCTTTGGAACCTAAAACTAAGGAAGGTTAAGATGACAGAACCTTGCTTCCCTTTGAAGATTGTGTGTGGGAAGCTCTTTTGAAGGTAATTTCAAAACACTGATGCTTCATTAATATGTGAAGGAGCTTATTATCATCAGCTGATTAAAGACAACCAGAAGTAGTTGAAAAGATTTTGGAAGAGGTGCCAAAGGATCAGTAGTGCTTCAGGTACTAATCAGCACTGATCTTAGTCTCTTTTCTCTGGACCTCATGTTTCTGGGGTTTTTTTCTTTTAATTGAACTACAGTTGATTTAGAATGTTGTGTTAGCTTTAGGTGTTCAGCAAAGTGATTCAGATATATGTATATATATTCCTTTTCAGATTTTTTCCATTATAGGTTATTACAAGATATTGAATATAGTTCCCTGTGCTACATAGTAGGTCCTTGTTGCTTATCTGTTTTATATATAGTAGTGTGTATCTGTTAATCCCAAACTCCTAATTTATCCCACCCTCCCTGCCTTTCCTCTGGTAACCATAAGTCTGTTTTCTATGTCTGGCAGTCTATTTCTGTTTTGTAAATAAGTTCATTTGTATCATTTTTTTAGATTCCACATATAAGTGATATCATATGATATTTATTTTTCTCTCTCTGATATACTTCACTTGGTAGAATAATCTCCAGGTCCATCCATATTGCTGCAAATGGCATTATTTCATTCTTTTTTGTGGCTGAGGAATATTCCATTGTGTATGTATGTGTGTGTGTGTGTATATACATATATACACATACATACCACATCTTCTTTATCCGTTTTACTGTCAGTGGACATTTAGCTTGCTTCTGTGCCATGGCAATTGTAAATAGTGCTGCTATAAGCATTGAAGTGCATGTATCTTTTCGAATTAGAGTTTCCTCCAGATATATGCCCAGGAGTGGGATTGCTGGATCATAGGGTAAGTCTATTTTAGTTTTTTAAGGAACCACCATAGTTCTCCATAATGGCTGCATCAATTTACATTCTCATCAGCAGTAGGACATTTCCCTTTTCTCCACACTGTCTCCAGCACTTACCATTTGTGGACTTTTGAATGATGACCATTTTGACTGGTGTGAGATGATACCTCATTGTGGTTTTGATTTGCATTTCTCTAATGATTAACGATGTTGAGCATCTTTTAGTGTATTTATTGGCTATCTGTATGTCTTCTTTGGAGAAATATCTACTTAGGTCTTCTGCCCAATTTTTGATTGCATTGTTTATTTTTTTGATACTGAGCTATATCAGCTGTTTGTATATTTTGGAAATCAATCCTTTGTCACTCACATCATTTGCAAATATTTCCTCCCATTCCGTAGGTTGTCTTTTTAAGTGGTTTCCTTTGCTGTGCAAAAGCTTTTTGAAGTTTAATTAGGTCCCATTTGTTCCTTTATATTTCCATTACTCTAGGAGACAGATCAAAAAATATTGTTGCAATTTATGTCAGAGTGTTCTGTCTATGTTTTTCTCTAGGAGGCTTATAGTATCCGATCTTACATTTAGGTCTTTAATCCATTTTATTTTTGTATATGGTGTTAGAGAATGTTCTAA